CTTCCCAGTCTGCACAATACAACCAGCTGCTCTCCCAGTCATTGTGCTTGCCTACGGCTCTGCCTGCCTCCGCATCTATATGGTGCGCGTCTGGACACCAACTGAGTTGATGGGGAAAACCTTGACACAAGTGGTGCGGGGAATGCTGCGCTGTTGGGCATCAGGATGACCATCGCCTCGCGGCGATCCCATATCACGCCAGGTTTGCTGGCACTGGACATCGAACATCCCCGTTGGGATGGTTGGAGTCAGGCTAGAGCCCAGGGACGCCTAGGACGACCTGGTTCAAGGTTCACTAGTTACAGATGACAGATGCTAACGAAGGCGCACAGAAACCCCCTCGATATCAACTCATGACTGTCAGAGCCATGGCGCAGAACAGGCAGCCCTCCGGAGGCTACAAGCAAGAGCCGGATAATGTAAGTTCCTTTCCCCTTCTCTTGTTGTCCTCCCAGATATCCCCTTGCGTCGCTGCATGGCGACGTGATTACGTATTCCTTCTGTGGTTCCTGCCTTTGTCATTTGTTTTTCTTGTCAATTACTCGAGCTCGTTGGGGTGCATAAGGTTGTCTGCTTCAGCTTGACCGCACACCGGTCTAAGTTGTCTGAAGACTCGTCACTCGGCTATCTGCTGTGACGGCGAGTCGTGACAGGCGGCAAACACGGACCTCGCCAAAAGCTCTCAAGCGGGAGTTGAAGAACAGGTCAAACAAGGATAGGGTTTGAGCGACACGCATTGCTGGCATCGAGAACATGAGAGCGTTCTGGGATTTCCGTCGCTTCCAGAAGATCGCAACGCCGTCGCAAGCTTGACCAGGTCAGGACCCAAAGTCTGTGAGATTGGCAGGGTAGCTCCTGTTTCACCAATGACCGGGGCTGTCGCAGGCTTCATTGCATGAGTGGGCCCTTCCGACTAGCGTGCCACAGCGCCATTCCATTTTGAACCTTTCAAAGTTGGGGGGGCAATTGGAGAAGGGCGGGCAAAGGGGAGAAAGGTGGTGGGCAGCAAGCAAGCCAGACCAGGGTTGGGCAGGGCAGGGCAAGGAAGGGTGAGTGCTACCCAACCAAGTTAAGCTCCGGGGGGCTGGTTGAACCTTGGGAAGCTCCAGAGACACGCTCGCGGTTCTGCTGGGAGTGCGAGGGATCGCAGTCAGGTCTCCGGAGCTGCCTACGGGGGCCCTCGCACAACGCAGCAATGTTTGCTTGCCTGCCTGCTTGCTTTTCCCCTTATCCCCTTGAGCCACAGCGACTAACAGCCTCCGTGCGGATGCTGTTCCTCGTTCCTGGTGGACGGAGCTGGGAGAAGCTGGCGCATGCGCGAAGCCAAGTGGTGGCTGGTCCGCTGGAAATGAGGTACACGCAGGGCCAAACGGCGGCCAACGGCTACCCGGGCCTGCCTCTGTTGCCTAGTGCTGTCTCGAGTACAACGGGTACCAACCTTTCAGCTTTTAGCCTCGGTGAGGTTGGGCTTGCCTTTACCCCTCGTACTCGTCATGAGCGGCAAAGGGACATGGCATGCAAGCCCCAAAGATTTCTCTCATGTCCACGTCAGATGAGGAGGGAACAAAAAAAGAAAGAAAGGGCAGAGAGGCCAGCTAGCCGAAAGGAATCGGCTGAAGCAGAGCAAGCTCTAGGCGATGAGCTCGAAAACCACCGGAGGTAGTGTACCTTTTGCTGGCATGTCCTGGCAAAGCAAGATGAAGATGAGGTGACGATTGTGGAGATCTGGAGGCGTTGTGGTGGGGTGGCTTTCTGCTCCGCGGTGCAGCTTGTGGTGGGGCTGGCAACAGCTTCTCCAATCATGGTGACTGCGCGAGCGAAGCCCCAGCCGGCGTATCCATCTCTGCTTCGTTTGCCGTTATGATTCGGAATCGGCTGTCGGGGGGAGAACATCTGCGAGGGCCCAGTCTGCTCATCGATCGTATCAGCGAGAACCACTGCGAGCAATGGCGATGGGAGGCGCGGCAGAAAAGAGGCAAAGAGCAAGTCACGTTGATCCAAACAAGACGGTGGACAAGCTCCAGATGAAGATGAGGAGAAGCCTGTCCTGCACGTTTGTTGCCATTGTTCCCACCTACCATAGTAGAGCAACGGCGGCGAGGGTGACATGGCTAGCGCTTGTCGTGAGGAGTCAACGACCCCATCATCTCTGAGTTGGCTACCAGGAAAAGGCGTACCGGCGACATTCCAGCAGCTGGTCTAGCGGCCGTCTGAGGGCGTACTCAGTACGGCAATCCCGCATTGCTGGCTGAGGTTAGCCCGGGTTCCTGGTTGTTCCTGGGACGTGGGTGATACATGGGTCAGCGGCAAGGTCTCAAGTGCAGAGCCAGCGACGGCAGAAGGGCAAACTCCAGTGCGCAGCGCGGCGAGCAGGCCAGGCATGAGCAGCCAGGACAAGACCCAGCATCGCATCAAGCGACATGGGGCCTTGCAAGCGGCAGCGCGGGACTGATGTCCCAAGCAGCCAGGATCAGTTGAGACCTGGGCTCCCACATGGAGCTATGTTCCCATCCAGGCACGACGCCGCAGCTCAGATCAGTTGTCACAGTTCGTTCTGTTCTCTCCCACGTCGTCTACCCATCCACCCTCTCTGCCTCACCCATGGGCTTCCACACCGCCTTGAGCCAAACAAGTCAAGTGAGTGGCCAGGCCGGTGCAGGGCCCAGATGAGGTGTGGTGGGGGGCAGGGAGTCGGGAATTGGAGTGCAAAGCTTTTTTTGGGGGGTGGTTGGTGGCTGAGAAGCGAAGTGAGGACTTGGGGTGACTGGGACTTGGGACTGCCACTGCCGTGCCTTGGTCTGTCTGCCGCGGCCTGGTTTCCTGACTCCTCAGGCTCAGGCCTTCAGGACTCAGGACAAGACTCAAGACTCCAGACAGACTCAGTGGTCTTGGATGAGAGGACACCCGGCGGCATCCCGGTAATATCCTTGTCCGCTGGCTAGCCCCGGACGAGGGCTGCCTGATTGGGCAGCTGCTCCAGCTCGGCCCTGCAAGTTGGTGCCGCCATTGGTCATTTAATCTACTGCGGTACAATGCAGGAGACCCCTGTCACGTTTCTCCCATGCGCTGTCCCACACACCCTTTTTTTCTTTTCTTTTTTTTGCTTTTATCTTTTTTTTCACTGCCCACCACCATGTCCACACACACCCCTGCCCATCGCACAGCACACAGCATCCACAGCACTTTCCTCACATCTCCACCGCGAGGCTTGCTGTTTGCACCCCCCAACCCCTCTGGGGCTGTCTCCCCTCCCCTCTGATTTAGACGAGGAGAGGAAAGGACGCAGAAGCAGCAGCAGAAGCCGCGCGAGAAAGTGGGTGGTGGACGAGAGGAGTGGGAGAAGGCTTGGACGTTCTCTGTCTTCCCGCTCCCGCCAATGTCAACGCCCACTCCCACCTTCAGTCCCAATCCCACGCCCATGTCCACGCCTCCCCGGTCGTTATATCCCCTGTTGTTCCCTTTTTCTTCCATGCCTCTGCGAGTTGCAGCAAGAAAAGCATCGAGAAGCTCTCTGCCTCTACTTCTGCTTTTGCATTTGCTGCTGCTGTTGTCGTCGCCGTCGTCGTCGTCGTCGTCGTCTGCCCAAGGTCACAGGTGCGTTCGCAACCTTTCACGGCTCTGAACTCGAAGGTAGTTGCATCTGCGTGCTCTCTGCTATTTGCCGCTGTTCGTTCTTGCTGCTTGCTGCTTGCCTTGTTTCCTGCTTATACTTCTGCTGCATTTTGTCTGCCGTTCTGTCTGCTTCGTACACAAGTCAACCAACGCGAGCGCGCACGTTCTTAACCCTAACAACCTTTTTTTTCCTCTCCTCCTGAATCCTTCTCTCAACCATTCATCCCTATTCCTCCTCTGCCGGGCTGGCAATTTGCGAATAACTCCTCATTCCATCTTTGCGTTTTCATGGTTCTCTGCGTTTCCTCCTCGAAGCTCGTCACCATACACACAAATCGGTCGGCGAGGTGTACATCCGTATGCCCTCGTCGTCTCGCCTCCAATTTGCCCCACGGCTGTGGTAGCGTAGCGCGTTGCATGGGCATTGCCGTCGAGTTAACATCGCCCTCACCGTCGATATCTCCTCGTCCCCTCGCTTCGCATCGCATCGCCTAGCCTAAGGTACCGTACCGTTATATCGCCCCTTGTATTACCTTACATTGCACCTCATTCTACCCCGAACGTCCAGCAGGGCTTCCAGCTCCACTGCGTCCGCGCCCCCCTGACCTGTCTGGTCTGGCATCCCGTATCTCGAGTGAGAGAACAGTTCCCAAAACGCGCCTCCTGTCTCTGCCTTTGCCATATACCATACGCACTCATCATTCCCCATCATATATCCACTCCAAATCCTACCTTGCTCCAATGCTCAAATACCTACCCTGCTCCTCTCCTGCCTCCTCACTCGCCCATTCCCCCCGACCAGAGCCATCTTCTGCTGCACCCTCGCTCCGATCGCCATCTCTCCTCCTTCATGCTCCCTTGTCATCTCATTGCACCGCACCTTTCGTCTCTTTTCGTTCCTGTCCTGTCTGGTCGCGCCAGAAACTGCAGTACCTGCCGGTAGCCAGCCAGGTCCATTGCGTCTCGAAACTTCGGGTTCCGCTTCCGAGTATCCTCGCCGCGTCGTCTCTTTAACCGAAGCTGGCTTGATTATTCAGGGGTAAAGCATCAATCCCTACTGCCTTCCAATACCGCAATACCGCTACCCTATGTTTTCGCTTCTCCGATCTGGCGCTGTAGTAAGCGACCATTTCCTGGAGCCCGAAATGTCCACTTTATATCAGAAAGGGGTCCCAAACTGGGTCTAGCACGCCTCACCCGCGCGATCCTCGTCGACATCCAGGGGATGAACACCACTTGGATGCCATGCCCCCAGGCCCCTGACAGTGTCAAGGAGCAAAAAATAAAAATACAGACGCGCCCTGCTTTCTTTGTTTTCTTCTTGCTGCTACCAGTCAACTTAATACGTCGAAGCGTTCGTGGATGAGGGACTAATGGGTCTTTTCTCTATGCAGCATCACCCCCACCATCAGCCCCAGGGTCCAGCACCTACTCAGCACCTGCAGCACCAGCAACATCCTCGACCCTCGAGCATCGTTCATCAGCAGCACCACCCGCAGGCTCAGTCGCAACAGCATCCTTCGTACGCGTCCGGCCATCCCATCGCCCCCGCCTACCAGCAGACGAGCCAGGCTTCCAACGCCCAGCACTCCCAGGACGGCCTTCCTTATTACGCGCACCCGAGCCCTTACAGCACCCCAGGAGCGACAAGCGGATACACTTCCGCTGGTGAGTTTTACCAACACCGAGACGTGACGACGAAAACGACGCGTCTTGACAGCTTCACAACAACATTCACTAACATTCGCATCTAGACCAATCCGACATGATGGCCGCCGCTCAAATGCCGAGACCACCTTACCCTCCTATGTCATACCACACGCCTCAGTCGAACTCGCCTGCGTCGGTAGCATCGCCCTCCCAACATGACCAGCACCGCAGCATCTACGGCCAGCCGCCGTCTCAGCCTCTCCAGCAGCACATGTACTACCAGACTCAGCAAGCGCACTACCCGTCCATGCAGGCGCAACCTCAACAGTCGCCGTACGCTCAGCACGCTGCCCAGACGCACCAGCCCATGTCCTCGCAGACCAACATGATGATGTCGCAGCAGCAGCAGCAGCAGCAGCAGATGCCTCAGCACGCGGCACAACACAGCCAGCAGCAAATGACCAACTCTCCGCGCGGCCACATGAAGACGGAGCCCCAGGTGCCTCTGCAGCTGCAAAAGCCTCAATCGACCCCCATGCAGCACGCTCAGCACCCCCAGAACGGCGCTGCTCTCAACACTCCTACCGGTTCGACCCCCGGCGGTGTCAACCCCAACGCGGCCCCCGGCCCTATTCCGGCTACCACGCCCTTGGTCGTCAGGCAGGACCAGAACGGAGTGCAGTGGATCGCGTTCGAGTACTCTCGCGACCGCGTCAAGATGGAGTACACCATCCGCTGTGATGTTGAGTCGGTCAACACGGACGAGCTTTCTGCTGAGTTCAAGACGGAGAACTGCGTATACCCCAGAGCTTGCTGCCCCAAGGATCAATACCGCGGTAACCGCCAGGTGTACGAGACGGAGTGCAACACGGTCGGATGGGCCCTCGCCCAATTGAACCCTCCTCTGCGCGGCAAAAGAGGCCTTATCCAGCGTGCTGTGGACAGCTGGCGCAACAGCAACCAAGATCCCCGGCTCCGAAGCCGTCGAGTCCGCCGAATGGCGAAGATGAACACCCGGAAATCGGTCCAGGGCGGTCCCCATCCGGGTGCTCATATGGGCGGCCCCAGCCCACCAGGGATGCCGCAAGGAGCGGGTGGCATGGGTCCCGCGGGTGCATCAGCCAAGATGCCTGGAATGAACATGGGTCATATGCCGCACGCCAACGCTCCGGGTGGAGGGGATGAAGTCGGTATGTTTCACCAGATGTGATTAAAGCCCTCCGCATCTGCAGCGTTTGCGAGCCCAGTCGTTGTCTGTTGTTGATTGTCGTTGCATCGCACATACACACTGCCCGGCATCCCCCCTAAAGATCGTTGATTATGTGATACCTTTCCCCTCTTCCTCCTGTTAGCCGTGGTCTAGAGCGACACGAGCACATCACACAAAACACATACAATTTTTTACCTCTGTGCCTTTACCTGCATCTACTATTACCGTCAGAAGTCTTGGGAATGGGTTTGTTACACTTTGTCTTTTTTGCGCTTCCTGTCCGTATAGCGCCGGCTTCCTTTTTTTCGGTCGCATCAAAGCAACTGCTACTTGATACAGCAAAGCTCGCCGCGGGTTGAGAGGGATTTCCTTTTCTCTTCGGCACAGATCTGTACATTACCATAGTTGCTGCACGCAGTTGCTGCTGTTGCTGTCGTTAGTCATATGTTCCCGAGCTTGTCGGGCAACATACTGCGGTACTCTTAGAAGAGACACCGGCAAAAAGTCGCATTGCTTAGCGTTTTGCATTCACCCTTGTTTTGCGTCCCAGCCGCGCATGGCTTTTCTACCACTCCTATCAAACGGACGGGAGGGAACTAAGCTCTTGCCATGGCACCTCTGTACCGCAAAAGCAACCCCCTCAAATCCCTTTGTTGTCTTGAGCGTTTCGCGTTGCCGTTGGTTCGTGTTGTCAGGGTTGCCGATCAAACATGTTTACCCCTCCCACTCCGCTCAACCTGCAGACATCTCCGAAACTCGTTTCCAACCCGTCATTGCAACGTTGGCTGACTTATCATGACTGACTAGGCGATGGAGAATACGTTGATGAGCACCACCATCACCACCAAGCCCCGACCGGCCAGTCGGGTGGCGACGGCGACGTGAGACAGTCGCAAGTATTCTCCGGTAGCTACGGAGGCTATCCGGCCCCCAGCTCCGGGTCCATGCCGCACATGGGCAGCTCTCATGGCGGAGCCATCTCCGCCCGTCGCCACAGCCGCAGCGAGAACGACGAGCCCGAAGACCTGTTCCCCAACATCCCTGAGGCTAAGAAGCGCAAGTTCATCCTCGTCGAGGACAACGTCCGGGGCTCGCGCCTTCGTGTGAGAGTCACGCTCGATGGCGTCGATACCAAGGAGATCCCCGACTCCTTCCGCAAGGGAGCTTCCGTCTTCCCTCGGTCGTACTTCCCACGCGAGATGCAAAGCCCGCCTCCCTCCGCGACCGGGTCCAAGTTCTTCATGGAGGATGCTGATGAGGAGGATGACGGCGTTGAGGAGACTGACGGCCGCACACGCAGAGCCCGTGGTAACAGCAAGGCCATGGTCAAGGTGCCCATTGGTGAGAACACCGAGGGAGAGGTTGCCATCCCCCGAATGAGGAAGAGCGTGAGAGGCAAGGAAGTGCGTCTCAACGACCTCGGATACCGGATGGCCTGGCTCCAGAGCCGAGTCTTCGCAGGTCGCACTGTGTTCCTTCAAAGAGCCCGTGAGTATTCCAAGGCTGTGTCGAACATCACAAGACTAACATCGTGCAAGTGGACTGCTACCGTAACAAGACTCGCTCCGCGATTGAGTCCATCATGCAGGACGTCAAGACCCTTGCGCCGCACTACGAGACGCGTGTCGGCAAGCGGAAGTGGAACGAGAGAATGAGAAAGGGCGAAACCGATGATTAAACCAAATCGGCCACGACGCAAGTCGCAATACGTTTGCCAAGTATTTATCTGGTCACGCACATAACCGCGCCGTCCTACGAGCACAAACTTGACATCAGCATTCTCGAGCGAGTCCCCTCATCGAACCGATTCATACCTTTTTTCCTGCTTTCGTTTTTATCTCGTTTCCGCGCATCGTTAATACCGACGTCTCACGACCCTTTTGCGACACAAAAAAACTACCACTCTGTATCATACGTGCCGATCCGACAAGTTCATAAAGGAGGCTGCTAAGGAAGAGGAGATACCAACCGTTTGGTTTTCTCATATGGTGATGACGTGACGATGAACCCCTTCAATTTTCTTTTTCTCTACGAAGGATGAAAAAAGACGTTTGCTTTTCAAAATCATTACTCGTTTGGGGAGGTTCCTTCCTCATCGGAAGGTTTCTGTTCTGCGCCATTTTTGTTCATTGCAGCAAGCAGCACACGAGCTTTGCTACGACGCCTTGGACCACGACAAGACATGAGGCGGCTTTTTACTTTTCATGGCTCGACGTTTCTTGCATTTTCCCAAGCTTGGGGATGAGGTTTCCTACGTTTCCGCGGTGCGAGGGTTTGGAGGTGGTGGACGGTGGGTGAGGTTCGTTTTTCCTCCACCGTCTATGGTCGGCTTCTTGGTACATTTTCTCAAAAAAAAACTTTTCATGCTCTCGCTTTTTGTTGCTTTTTCGGCAAAGGTCAAGTTAGGGATTTTACTCGTGGAGGAATATGGGGATTGTGGGCTTGGGTTTCGGGTTTTCAGGCTCTTTTTCTCCTTCGGTTCGGAGGCGTCGGAGAGCGTACTTGCTGGTAAGATATGCTTCGTCCGGCGGCGGCATGGAGGGTGTGACCATGGTTCATAGATTTTTCTTTACTCAAGATTCTTATTTTTTTCGGTTATCTCGTCGCATCTGTGCCTCACATGTGTTTGTATGAGTGTGCGTGTGTAGATGACATATCAGTCTTGGTGCCGTGATGGACTGACCACACACCCCTGGAGGATATGTAGTTGGCTGGGCACAATTCACGAAATGTTGGTAAGGTCATCGCGGCTTCTTGGAGATCTGTCGTGCTGATACATGCCGCACTTTATTCGCCTGTTTCCATGACTCGCGCGTGCAACACATATTGTTCAGAGTTCATCTGATGTTGAGGTTTGTCGAACTCTGTGGCATCCTCACCCGAGCTTGGCTTCTCACGATATAGGTCGTTTGTCTGAGGTAATCTAGCACATACGACCATACCCACTGGAGAACTCGGGATCCCGTCCGCTCTCCCATAGATAAGCCAGTGAGGGCTGGAGTAGTAGTCGGGTCGGTGACGACCGGCGAATGCCCGGTGTTGTATGTATTTTTGCTCTCATCCCTCATTTTTAAGAGACGAGTTCAATAGTAAGTTGATGACGAATATACAGCCTTCCTCGCATGGTTTGGGATTGGTGCATGTTCTTGATGACGGAAGATCTCTATGCTTTTACTCTACATCGCTGCCGCCTATGTGATCACTCCATCGAAGCCACATCCTTTGGAGCTCTCTCTCCTCGTTGGAAGACAAACAAAGCCTCATCTTTTCCGGCGAAACTCGGCAGCGGAATTTGCACCACCTTGGTCCACTCCTTGTGTTCCCTCTCCATGTATTGATCCATTGTGACGCCTTTGAATCCCGTGTACCCGTTCCCGTTCTGCGTGCCAACGACCGCAATAGTGTCGCCCTCGTACGCCTCAACCAGGCCCCTGGTGAATCCACCCTCCTCGCCGCCCGCCACACCACCGCCGACGACGGGGTACACAAGCAGCAACGCGAGGTCCCTGCCCGAGTCGCGTTTCTTGAGCCACTTGACGCCGTCGGCGATCTCCGTGTCGGAAACCCAGTTGACGCGCCACTCTGACTGCATGTTGTCTACGGGGAACGCGGTGACGCCGTAGAGGCGCAGCATGAATGTCCAGTACCCGTTGCCAGACCCCATGTCGGCGACGGCCCTTCCCGCCAAGAGAGTCTTGAGAATGGAGAGGGCTTCGTGGGAAGGTGTGGCACAGCCGAAGTGGTGCATGAAGATGGGGAGGACGTGGTGAGACTGCACGCGTTTGGCGGAGGAAGGGTGCGGCCCGGCCCATTCGAGATTCCGGCATGACCACGCCCAGAAATCGACATAGGGGTTTGGTGGGCAGGAGGTTGCCTTTTTGCATTTCGGGATTGCGAGGGTGGTGGCCAGGGATGGGTGGATGTAGCGGTGGGCGGTGAGGTGAGAGGCGATCTCGAAGCGGAGGGAGGACTTTTTTGCGTTTGAGAGGAACGATTTTAGAGCAGATGATGTAAGAGTTGTCGGGAGGAAGATGGAGACGTAGGCCTCTACGTCAGCTTGAGGAGGAGGGTCGAGCTGAGGGAGGTGTCAGTCTATAATTCGGCTGTGAATTCACCATCAGCGCTCAAAAGATGAGAACATACAGGTTTCCCCTCGTCATCACGATACCACGCATGAAGACCGTTCTTCCCCCCCATGTTCACGATTTCCTGAACCTGGGGGAGACGAACCGAAGTCATGGCATGATAGACGTAGGTGTCGCGCCTAGGGTCGATGCCGAAGGAGAGGTTGACGGCGGAGTAGAGGTTGTTTTGGGCCAAGAGCTGGTTCGCTTTCTCGTGACGTTCTCTGTCTTCCGCGTAGGCCTTTGGATCAAATTCGGGTGCGCCTACGCAGTGCACGAATTTGCCGCCCTTAGACGACATTTTGGGCTGTTGATTCTACAGAGTGAGATGAGTAAATATTTTGACGTTATTTTGTTGCGTTTGTCATGAGAGATTTTCAGAAAAGTTTGGCCTCTATGAAACCGAGTTAGCAACAAGTTTCTCTGCAGTGACAATACCAAGCTTAGAACCCACAGATATGAATGTTGAACGGATCCTGCATCACAGATCTCGGAGCGTTGCAAGATTGTGATCCGGAACGTCGCTTTTAGAACACGCCGGGGTTTCGGGGCCGCATTTTCGGAGCGGACGGATGTCGTCATTGCATTTCGCTGAGCCTCACCCACTTTTTCCGGTACAGTGAGAGGCGTCGGCTGCACTGTGAAGGTCGCGAACGAGCCACGCGAGCGGTGGGGAAATGTCCAGCGACCCCGGGCTGTCAGGTTTGTACTGTGCGCTTAACCTTACCTCAACCGGCGGAGGTAACGGAATGGAATGTTTGGAGAAACAAAACATCTCTCTTTTGACTTCATTTTCGAAGACTTTTGCTACTCGTGCGGATGGTGAATACATACAACGACAGTAGCGATCACGATAATCACGCTGGATAGAAAGGCGTTGCGGCTGCGGTCTAGCTGTTGCTGCGAGGTAGCATTCGGTCCAACATGACATGGTTGTTCTCACTTCTTGACCACGAAATCGACGGCTTTTCATCATATCTCAACCCACGTGGAAGCCCATCCATCATCTGCTCCGAATCGTGAGCTGACCATTCAAAACGTCTCGATACCTGCCCTGCTTCCCAGGTCATCGCCGTGCCGAATTGCCTGATCCGCTCGTCACCATGTCATGACTCGGAAGTCGGGAACAGGCATCGGGCCACCGACACCGCAACACCGCTGCGCCGGACACACAAACATTCATCCGCTCCCTCGGGAGTTGACCGCGGTCGAGAACACCAAATTTCTTTGCCGGCCTCTCCCCCACACAACCCAACCCCGACCCTCCACAATCCTCAGGGGTAGGGCCGATTCTGCGGGCACAATGCGGGGTGCTGCATACCCAGCATCCAAGCCATTGGGCCTTTTTGGCAAATTTTTGCCCCTGTTGGATGCTTCTTCAGGCCTTCGAATGGCTTCGCTTGCGGTGACGTAGTTCCACTGCACCAAGCTACACCACCCCGGCGGCTTGGTCTCGTGGCACGATGCTGGGATCAACCATTCATGCTTGCCATGGCTTCATCTCCAGACCCCGTCTTGATGGATGACCCGGGGGGCCAATGTCCGACCTTCTCCCGGTCCCGCACCCGTTGTAAAAAGTACAAAATGCCCGCCTGCCTCTGGATCGGCGTGAGGTTCGAGAGAACGGTCGTTGCAGCGTCTGCTCGGAACCAGTCGGCACTCACCCCGTAAACATCTACCACCATGACCCGACTCAGTCTGCTGGCCGCCTTCTCCACGGCTTGTGCCACGGCATCCGCCCTCGTCCCGAGACAAGCCGTCCCGGGTAACGACACCGGTGCCGCTGCTCCCACTGTCCAAGTCAAGAATGGCTCGTACTACGGCATTTACAGCCAGTCGTACGACCAGGACTTCTTCCTCGGCATCCCTTACGCCCAACCTCCCGTCGAAACCCTGCGTTACCGTGCTCCTCAGCCCCTGAACTCGACCTGGGAAGGCACTCGCAACGCCACAGAGTACTCGCCGCAGTGCTTCGGCTATGGAAGCGACACGTGGGTGCTCGGAAACTACGTCTCGGAGGACTGTCTGACCATCAACGTCGTCCGGCCCCACGGCGTTTCACCCGATGCGAAGCTGCCCGTTGCCGTATGGATCCACGGCGGTGGCCTGACTAACGGCGGTAGCTCCGACCCGCGGTACAACGTCTCCTTCATCGTCGAGCAGTCCGTCCGCATGGGAACCCCTTTCATTGCCGCCAGCATCAACTACCGCCTGCATGCTTGGGGCTTCCTCTGGAGCGACGAGATCAAGGCCGCCGGCGCGGGAAACCTCGGTTTCCGTGACCAAAGGCTAGCTTTGAGCTGGGTCCAAGAGAATATCGCCGCTTTTGGAGGCGACCCGGAGCAGGTCACGCTCTGGGCTGAGAGTGCTGGAGCTCGAAGTGTCGGAACGCAAATGCTGGCCTACGGAGGCCGCGATGATGGTCTCTACCGCGCGGCCATCATGCAGAGCGGAACCGGCTTGGAGACGGACTTTGGCGAAGTTGAGTCGACCACCAACCCGTGGCAGGACTACTACGACACCATCGTCAACAAGACCAACTGCACGTCTGCTGCGGACACCCTGGACTGTCTCCGTGGACTGCCAGCATGGGATCTGAGCGATGTCATTAACGGCACCTCCAGCCCCTCCTTCAACGGCATGGCGGACGGCGACTTCCTTCCCGTTCCGCGTTCAGAGCTCATCAACGCGGGAAAGTTTGTCCACGTCCCCATTCTGATTGGCGCCAACTTCGACGAGGGCACTCAATTCGGACAGAAGGGCATCAACACCACCGAGCAGTGGGACTCGTACCTCCGTGCCCAGGGTGCCAACAACGTCACTATCGAGGTCCTCTCCGCCCTGTACCCTGACATCCCCCGCGTCGGCCTCCCTGCAACGCTCGACGGCCGCCCAACGGGTGATGAGGCTGATCTGGGATACATGTACAAGCGCGCTGTGGCCTTTGGGGGAGACCGCGCTCAACATGGGCCAAGGCGATACTGGGCGCGAAAGTGGGCTGAGGCGAACCAGACAGTGTACTCATACCACTTCAACGTGCTGGTCAACGGCATGATGCCCTCCGACGGCGCGAAGCACTTCCAGGAGGTCGTTTTCGTTTTTGATAACACCGACGCCGTGGGCTACAAGACCGCCGTCGCGGTGGACCCGTTCGAGGGCAAGCCCGAGACGTTCAAGACACTGGCTGATATGATGTCGCGCATGTGGGTTTCGTTCATCACCAAGGGCGACCCGAACTACAACGGCGTCACCAACACGACTTGGCCGAAGTATGACGTTGAGAATCCCTACAACATGGCCTTCGATGTCAATGTCACGGGTATCGCCTACCAGGAGCCGGACACGTACCGCACGGAGCAGATTGAATATCTGATCCAGAAGTTGTGGACTCAGGAGTAGTGCGGAAATACACGGATATGGAAACCTAATGTTCTAGACGATGGACGTAATGTAATGGATCCATGATAATATAGGAGTATAATACCCCAAGAAAATATCTCTTGCTGCCGCAATCTAGGGAAACGCTGTTTCTATATTCTGGCTAGCTCCTGCCAACTGGCTCACCCCTCGTCCACTGTCAACTTTGTGAACATGGCACTGGCAAAAGAAGAGCCATGGGAGAATCATCAAAGGGTTGTCAAATCGTACAGCTGTCGCCAGTTTGCCCACCTATAAATGAAGTACTTACTGCTCTATAGCTCCCTTCTTCCGATGACCCAGTCCGTACAGAAATACATCAAGTTCGAGGAAAACTCACCTGGCTCGCGGCCTCATCCTCAAGCTTGCCTCGGCCGGTTCATGCGTCGCCACGCTGGCACATACTCGTCCCAGCGGGGGATCTCTACCACCCTAATAATGGGATCAGTGTGGCACCATTCGCATCCATGTGCATAGGTCTCGCCATGAACACGACAATCTCGAATATTGACGGTTGGACGCCCGCGCGAAGGCGTGGTGCTAGACCCTGACGTGACCGAAGGAGACCGAGGATCCGATCCGAAGGTTTGGTCTCCAAGGCCCATGGCTGGCTGATGCTGAGCCGAGAAAGAGCTGGAGGAGGCCTCAGCCCGCATCGACGTGTTAGTACGCGCCGGACTTGCGGCTTGACTGCCGGATACACCGTAGGCGGAAAGCCGCAAGGGAGTCGTGGGCGGTATTTCCGGAAGCGCGTGCTTAGGTGGAGGTGTCGGTGCCGGCAATTGGCCCTGCGTAGGTCTCTCCTGTTTTTGCCTAAGTGGGCTCTTGGGCGGCGGTTGAGGAGGCTCTTGAGGGCTGCTAGGGGGGCTATATATCGAGCCGATTACGATGCGTGGATCGTCCTCCGAATCTTCCTCAGAGCTCACAGACGGTGAGGGTGCTGCGAACCTCACGGTTTTGGGCTTGGCCTCCCGGACCGCCGTCACGATCTTGTTGCTGTGATAGTCATTGAGATGACAAGGGACGCTCGCTTCCCCGTTCGACTCATCAGATTGCTGTCTCCTGAAGCGCGGCAACCTCTCGTTCGCCGCGTGGCGAGTTTGGTTTCTACCCTCCAGTTGATCGTACGTGGCCGGCTGACTCTGCCGAGGGTATGGGTGCTCGAGTGCTTGCGGGTGTATAGACTGACCCGAGTAGCCGCTGGAGGCATGCGAGTTGGTGCTTGAAGGAGAGGAAGCCCGTCTCCTGGGGGCGCGTAGCTCTGGATCCTCATCGCTTAGCGGACTCACCTCTCCATTCGCGTACGTGGCTCCCGAACGGGGTGATCTTGGAGGGCTGCTAGGAGGAGTTGACGCAGGATAGCTGAGTCGTCTTCCGGGTGTTTGCTGAGGCATCGGGAAAGGCTGTTGCAACCGGCTGCTGTCATGCTCGCCATGATCAGTGTGCGAGGAAGATTCCTGCCAAGTCTGGGCCCTCTGCCGAACCCGACTGTTCTCATAAGATTGACTTGAGCTCGGGCAGTCACCGCTTATACCGCACCATATGCTGAGTGCGTCAACAACACTTGACACATGCTTGTGAATCACGGCATCTGACGCCCCCAAACTTTCTGTCCACTCAATCGTCTTCTCGCGCATAAGCGCAGCTTTAGCGGCGAAGTCTGGATCGGGTCTTCGCCTGTCTTTGCAAAGACGGCACTTGTCTGAGGTGAGGCAAAAAATGTGCATGGTCCTGAAAAGCGTACTTTCATAGAATCGTGTAAGGCTCTGTGCCGGTTGACTGTTGAATGGGTGCTTCAAGGATGACAAGAAGTTCTTCATGGGACTCTTCAAAGGACTCTTCATGGGACTGGAGGGAGTCACAGGATGGGCCGCTGGCGGGATAAAAAGAGCAAAAGGAGGGACGTCAGTCGCATTGATCGTGGTGTCCCAGCCGTTTTGCTGTCTGTACGACCAGTACGCTTTTAGGATCTGGGATGATGGCAAGCGTGGAACAGGACGTTGGGTGCCGTAGTATCGCTCGGGGTACTCGGTGTACACGTCGACACACTCGTCGCAGAAACCGATGATGGTATGGAGCGAACGTGTGTGTTTGCAGAGGCTGCACTGGTCACTCGACCTCTTGGGACATTTTTCGGTGCTCCATGTTGAGTGGGCGCAAACGGTGTAGAGAGTTTTGGTTTGCCAGCACATCTTGAGAGTCGAAGAGAAGACGTGAACCTGTTTTATGTGAGAATGGACTACTCGGAGAACTTGCCTGGTATTTTCAGAGTCGAGGATAGAACTTATTGTGCGGTTAAAAACTTAGAAAGTGGTGGAAAATGATGTTGAAACTAATTGAGAGGGAAGTTTCTCGACCTTGTCTTGTCTTTATCTTATAGTGTAAAAAATGTATGTGGGATAAAGATCAAAGACCGGTGTCCAGCCATTGTTCTAATGGTACATTCTGGTAGATACAGAAACAGGAGATTGCTACAAAGATATTGTCTGCATACACTCAGTAAGGCCAAGGCCTTTGTACGCGTTATTGAGTGGGCATGTTTCTCGGGCTGAAAGGGAGTTGCACTTGCTGTTTTTCTGCGACAGATATGGTTATTCTGTTTGGGTTTGCGGAGGGTTTTGGCAGCGAGAATTGTTTTCAGGTTTGCTGACCACTACGAAGGTTTCGGCAAGGCACTTACTTACATCAGGTTGGGTTAGCATGGCTTCACTACCAGTAATCCAACGAAACCGTCGCAGCTTGAAGCAGACATATTGCCAAAGATGATCCTCATGAAAGTCGTGATAATTGTGCTATTCTGGGTGCGGTGCTCAAAGGCCCATTCCAGGGTTCTGTCCAAGCGCATGGTGGAGGACGTCGATCGAAGCGACTCCCCTGCGCGCAAAGCTGTCATTTCCAGGCCGCATTTGCTATCGGAAACCCGCCCCATACTAAAATACTACCCCGAAAGCCGTACACCTTCTTACAAGCCGTACTTCTTGTCCTTGTCGGCGATAGGGAAGTCCTTTCCGGTGGTGTTTTTGCTACAAGGGGCGATCAGTTAGTTTCAATCAGGCCGACGGCGGATTGTTTTGGAATACTAACTATTGGCCTCTGACGAAGTCGCTGATCTGCTCGTCTTTCGCCTGCTCTGCGGCACTCTCATTGTCCTGGGGGCCTTGGCCGAGAACCTTTTCTTGGAACATGTCGACAGCTGGGAACAATATTAGCTTCCGCGATTCGAGGGTGCAAAGGAAAGGTGTGGGCAAGAGAACTTACCCTTATCAAGACCATCCTCCTGCTTCTCGCTCTCACGACCACCACCGGCCATGCCGTTGATCTTGTCCATGAAGCCTCCAGACTCTTTCTTCTCGGGCTGCTGCTGGGCCTGGGACGAAGAAGAGTCCTCCTTGTTGCCGGTGAGCTTGTTAACGAAGTCCATTGTGACGATGTTGTGTGCGAATACTACGATATGATTTGTATCGGATGCGGGATTGAAATTGAGTTGAATGCGGAGGGAAAAGTCAATTGAGGACGAGCGGGATGGCTTGGCTACTTGTAGTAGAGAAAGGTCGCACGAGAGAGAGACAGTCAGACATCAGCGGCGGGGGTTATCGAGACGGAAGGGTGGCTTAGACTGTCAAACCCAGTAGCACCTCCCTCTCGACCAGTGGAATAAGTCTTGGCAAGCACCATTTCTTGGGAGCAGAGGTCGAGTCGCGATGCACCACGCGCTTGTCCACCCGCCCGCTCATCGGTGGAGTTACATCATCAGCTGGTCAGGGGCCACTGACGCAGGCTAGGTCCCAATCAGCACAGCGGGCAGGAGCACAAAAAGCTGGCAGACACAGCTGGACGTGCGTTTGGGAGCGAGGTTCGTCCTTCAAGTGCCAAGAAACACAAACAAGCAATGAAGCTAGGAGGTGAGCGCACATGAAGCTAGCCCACGCTTGGTGACGTGATGTCCACCCATCCCCAGCGAGTTCAGCTTGCTTCGCCGGAGGCCCCCCCTGCCACACAGTGTTGACCCCGCCAATCCTGTCGTTCCAGCTGATCTATTGGACGAGTACCGTCGGGACCCATTTAAGGCCAAAACCAAGCTTCGGCGCACCGCCACCACGCCACATGTCCGCGGGGCATCTGTGGCTCAATGTTCTCTGACTTCACCGGCTGAGTCAATGCTGCTGACACTTGGACCACAAGCTCAGTCATGCCGATGACAGCGCCCCGCCATCCCGAGCTATATCATCGTGACGGCGCGGCATTCTTACAGTTGTCGCAAACCCTTCCACCCAAGGAAACCCTCGCAGTACACGGCAACGGTCAATATGGGCGACAAAAACGCCACGGATATCCTCCGCCGACCCCTCTACGGTACGCTTTCTTGCGAACGTTTACCCCTCCATCCCCCACTGACAATGGCACAGTGTACGACCTCCCGGCGGAAGTCCTGACGACACTCTCCCTCAAGCCAGACGCCGCGATCCCCGACCAGTCGCCTTCCTCTCCCCCGTCCAAAGATACATCCGGCTCTGATCTCGTTGGCTCTCAGGCCTGCTCGCTCTGCGGGCTTACCTTCTCCACGGTCCTTGACCAGCGTAGCCATCAAAAGTCTGACTGGCATCACTACAACCTCAAACAAAAGCTGCGCGGCGCGAAGCCTGTGACGGAGCAAGAGTTCGAGAAACTCATTGGAGGTAATGCGCCGTTGTACTTATCCTGCGCATGCGAGCTGTGCGACTGACTGTCGGTAGATCTCGACGAGAGTCTCTCAGGCTCAGACTCCTCCGAATCAGAAGACGAAGCAAACGACCAAGAATCCACACTTACAGCATTGCTGAAGAAGCAAGCTAGACTAGCCGACCAGAGGAATTCATCCGTTCCAGGAGAAAACGCCGACGATGACGAGGTGGGAGGACGGCCCGGAAAAGGCAAACCGCCACTGATATGGTTCACCTCCCCGGTTCTTCCGCCAAATACATACTTTGGTCTCTACCGTGCGATCCTTTCAGGAGAAGAGCTTCGAGATGAATCAAAGCTGGTAGAGGTGGTGAGGAAGAAGCAGCTAGATCCCATAGCCATCCCTAGAGTGCCCAAAGACGGCTCTGCGCCGTTACCAGCTGTGGCTTACAAGGGACCGCACTTCTTTCTCTGCATGATTGGCGGCGGTCACTTTGCCGCCATGGTCGTTGCCCTTCCGCCACGACAGAACAAGTCTGCGGGCGCCCTCAACAGAGAGGCTACCGTCCTCGCCCACAAGACTTTCCATCGGTACACTACTCGTCGCAAGCAAGGTGGATCGCAATCAGCAAACGATAATGCAAAGGGCGCCGCACACTCAGCGGGCTCCAGCTTGCGTCGTTACAACGAGCAGGCTCTGGTCGAAGACGTACGAGAGTTGCTACGGGAGTGGAAGGGATTGCTGGATACCTCAGAGTTACTGTTCATCCGGGCTACCGGCGCAACCAACCGACGCACATTGTTCGGTCCATATGACGGACAAGTCTTGAAACACAATGATACGAGACTACGGGGGTTCCCTTTCAGCACGCGGCGAGCTACCCAAAACGAGCTGATGAGATCATTCATTGAGCTCACGAGGCTCAAAGTCAGAGAGATCAACCCTGAGGACGAGGCAAAGCCCCGGACAGAGACACCGACACCTAGCAAAACACCAACGCCGAAGCCGACGAAACCAAAGTTGACGGAGGAGGAAGAGACGGCGTTGCTTCACACGTCGCAGATCCAAGCTCTGATACGCCGCACCAAGCTCCCTGCTCTGTTGTCCTACCTGAAACAAAACGACCTCGTGCCAGACTTTCAATTCCAGCCTCCCGACCAAAATTATCATTCTCCAACACCACTCCACCTCGCAGCACACCAGAACGCTGCGCCTCTAGTCCTTGGTCTCCTCACTCGGGGTGGCGCATCGCCGCTGGTCACGAACAAGGACGGCAAGACGGCCTTTGACCTTGCGGGAGACAGGTCTACTAGAGACGCCTTCCGAGTCGCACGCTCGGAGCTGGGCGAGGAAAAGTGGGATTGGGACACGGCACATGTACCGGCACCACTGAGCAAAGCAGATGCCGACAAACGGGAGGAACGAGAGCGCAAGGAAAAAGACAGCAAAGAGGCCGAACGCCGGAAAGCCGAGGAGGAACGGCTGCGCTCCGAAGGGCCCAAGGTTGACGACAAGAGAAGGAAGGCTGCCGGCCTGGCATCGGCGCAGCCTAACAAGTCAGCACAGGAGAAGAGGGAAGAAGAGGCTAGGGGGCTGACGCCTGAGATGCGGATGAAGCTGGATCGGGAGAGGCGAGCCAGGGCTGCCGAGGAGAGACTCAGGCGTATGCAGGCGGGCGGATGATGGAGATGATGCAGATGATGCAGCCGCGTTGTGTTTGGTATGGATTAGACGGGTCAGTTGCGCTCACCTGCAACGGCGACAGATGGAGTGACTAAGCAATACGAGCTAGATGCTCTTGAAAAACTTATTACCAAGGTACACCTTGTAGGCCATGAAGTGATGCAGAGTCTTGCTGGGATCGTTACTCAGACCGTCGTTGTCGATGTGAGGTGCATCGTAATGGCGATGCATGCCCTCAGCGGTTCTCATCCCCCGAGCCGTCGCAAGACGAAGTGGCACGACATCGTTTGAGACAACAGAATAAGATGAAGGGCCAAATTTTACGGACGGGAAACGAGCCTGCAAGTCGCTTTGTCACAATCGGCATGGCGTTCCGAGACATCCGTATTGAACTCGAGAACTCATGTCGCCATCTGTAGGATTCTTGGGATATTCTACAGAGCCGGAAGCATGCAAGGCAAGGAAGGTGCCATCTAAACACGCAACGAAGCTCACGTCTGTGCAAGTTCACATGCAACTTTACGCTACCTCGTATCTGTCCATGGCAATCCTCCTGCAGCTTTGCGCAAAGTCACTACCAACGTTCATGCAGGCCACACGAAACTAGTCGGCTCTACGTTTTCTTATTCCTCCGAGTCTTCAACTCGAACCCGATCTTACCGGTGAATCGACTTTTCACAGCCACCTCCTCAAAAGCAATGCTCCTGGAAGACCCAGAGATCTTGTCCCCACGTCGGAACATTCGATCTTTGCCGCTTAGATGTCATGTCAGGGGAACGGATGCAACGAATCACCTTCGGAACTCGACCGCGAGAAAGAAGCATTGGATCGAGTCACTTTCCGCGGCCTCCGCAGTAGCGCCCAACATCTCAATGCTCCTCGATGCACCGACTTCCCAGCCCTCGATACCACCAAGTACAGGGAAGATTTTGACAGATGACACCACTACCACCACCACCAGAGTTGTCTCTAGTGTAAGTAGAACGAAGGAGCCTGAACCAACCAGTGACCCACGACACCGCCTCCCCCAAGAAGAGGCCCGCTCATATCGCGGCAGATCGCCCTCATTCACCGAGTCGATCTTCTTGGCCAGGGATCCAAAGGCAAACAGAGTGCCGTCTTCACAGCCACCTCCTGGAGTACTCAGGAACAAACGGCAAGGAAGGGGAAGAAAACCATGACAGAACCATTCTCTTCGCAGTGCCGTCGTTCCCAAGGACGGCCCCGCGTCAGATGGCACCCACCCGCTGGATGGAGGGGGACTGGGGGAGGGATACCATAACCACCAACAGCTCAGCTCGTGTCATGAAACCAAGCCAACCCCGCCCCCACCGACCGACTTCTTTTTTTCCTGCTCTTCAACCTTTTGCTAGGCTAACTCTGGTCTTTTGACTCTCCACAGTCGAAAGACTACGGGAGGAAAAAGCCAGCATGCGAAAGAGGGCCAGAGTCGACCCCGTTGGCCGTCATTGCCGTCCGCGGTCCGGTGGGCGGAGCAGCCGGGGAATTTTCTCTTTGCTCGAGCTTGGAGCCAACAAGCTTCACAGCCACTGGTCAAGGTCACGGTAGCAATGGTCGTCATTGCATGAACTGTTCGGATTGAACATTATGCATGTTTGGCGGGGTATGGCATCGAAGATCGGAGCCTCAAGGAGAATTTCGTGAGTTCGGATGAAAAGGAACAAGACGAAAAATGAGACGAATGGGATAACCCGGACTAGTGTTGTCAGAAGCAAAGTGGAAAAAAAGGCAAGGTAGGGAAACGTTGATATTGGGACGAACACTTGACTCGCCAACAAACCGAAAGGCCTCGCGGCATATGGGTGTCGTCGTCTATCCGTACGTGTCTCTCTCTCTCTCTTCCGAAAACTGACGGCGTGTGAGACAAGGCGGCCATCGAACGACTCTTACCACAGACACAGAGACAACGAGGTTAGCCACAACTAGAAGAGAAACCCATCGTATATGCGGTTTCAAACAAATTCGATGCCCATCTCGGACATCGCCAGTAAGCCGCAAGGTGTGCAAGTTGGCGCGAGAGTCGACTAAGACGGTAGTTGATGGTCGTCCAGAACTATTCATGAAATGTGGGCAGCTGTCGACAGAAGACCTCGGGCAATTCATCGTTCCCCTTTCGCAGGGGTCGGCCCAGAGGATGCCTTTTTCGGACATCAACGACAACCCTTGGTCCACCACCGTCAGGGTTGCACCGTGGAAGACACCCGTTGGGGCGCTGGACACCGAAGGGATAGCCCCTGCAGCTTGCCCGGCCCTGGCTCCTCCCCTCTCCGCCAGCAAGGCTACGGCGTGTTGTAGCCATCACGGGAAGCGATTTTCGGGCTGGATGGTCCGCCGCAAAAAAGGGGATCCGGTTGGCGAAAGGTGAGAGGCACGCCCGGCAACGGAGGTGCACCGGTGAGCCAAGTCTTAAAAGGTGAATTTGGGCCGCCCCCAATCCCGGCTATTCATTGTTTGGACCCTCCAAAGTGCCGAAGAAACAAATGTAACCTTGGCTTCACCAACAACATTGCTGAGAATAGCTGCGCGGTGGGACGAGGGAAATGAGTGAAGAAGGGTCCGCTGGTGAGCCATATGGCAAACTGAGAACATCCGGACCATGGCAACGGAACCAGGCGATCTCATGATCGGGACCGAGCCGTGATTACGGTGTCTCTCCAAGGCCCCGTTTTTGGATGCTTCGGTTTCCTCATTGGGCCTGCCAGGGATTGACCCAATCTGCGGCATTCAATGATCGACGAGAAGACGGGGCGGTAGCGTGCGCTCTGGGGAAGAAGGCAAAAGCACCGGAGCTTTCATCAGGAGTATTGAATTGTATATCCAATATTTCATCTCGATAACCACCACCTCGTGGACAATGAGATGACCGTTGCGGTCTGCGTCGTCGTCGCGTTCGGATATCGGCCTGAGAAGGGAGATTGGAGTTATTCAACTCTGCTTGCTCTAGAGCGGTGAAGGCGTCGGATCCTTCGATTGACAAGAGGAGGACTCGATGGCCAGGAAGACATGTCAATTCCGCGGAAAGCATGGCCCGTTACCAAAGCGCCGTTGTCTATGAGCGTCAGGTAGGCAGGCCGTCGGAGTTAGGAGGCTAGGACTGCCATCCAATTTCCCCCAGTCGCCACCAGTCGCTTAGGGTCGTTCAGTGTACGCCGCACCGCACGAGCCTCAACCGTCAATCAGTTGTTCGCTCGTCTGGAGTAGAGGGCCGTTGGGGTTTTTTTTGACAGCAGCATATGGAAAAAAGAAACGTTTCAGCCAAATGCATGTGGAAATTGAAGGGCATTTCTAGACCTCCAGAGGGGGGAAAGAGACGGTTGTATCACTGGCGATTTTGGGAATGGTTCGGATTCTCAGATTCAGGTGAGGCTCTGGATTAGGAAAAGCCCCCCCCGGTTGACCTGGCTTCTTTAGGCTTAGTGACCTTCCGATAGGGCAGTTTGCCGACGTCACGCAGGCAGGAACCGCTGGTCTTCGGTTCTGTCGGTCACGAGTTGATGGCGGTTCTAGATACCAAAGCAACCTCAAGTCGCAGTCGAGGCCGAAAGCGTCGAGCCCAATCAATCTGTGTCCTTACGGAATTGGCTGACTGGCGAGGGGCAGAGGCGCCGGGCGAAGCAGCTTGATGCTCGGTGCAGGCGCCTATTCGTAGGTATTAACCTCTTGTCAGACTGCAAAGGCGTTGCTATGTCTCAGATTGAGCCTCCATCTGATGACCACTGCAGACCTGTGGTCTCTCAACAGGCGCCGGCTTGTCAGCGGCCATCATACTGGTGCCGCGCGGCCAGAAGCCCGGCGCATCCCCATGCATATGTTGATCGAGGTCTCGAATCATGGCCCAGGCCGCCCGACACATCGCCAGTCATGAAGCGGCGATTCGTTCATCCACCGACCAGAGGGATGCTTAAATCTAAAACAAAATCTAAACCGAGAAAAGGTTGTCGGGTTGTCGATCCACAAACAGAGGAGAAACGCCGAGGGCCTAAATGGGCGTGGATATGGGCGATACCGAAACCACCACTAGCGTTACTTTGCCGCCAAGGTGGTATCGCGCCGTCGTTCTCGCTTGGCCGTTGGGTCTAACTTGCACAATCGATTGTGCTGAGTTCGATTCGGGTGGCTTTTGTCGTGAAACAAGCCGTTTTCCAGAGCCAAAGACAGCACTTGAGATGGCTTCCGGTCACATCACGATTTGGAAGACTCTCTCGGCCGTCGTCCACGGCCCGCTCGAGACCAAGCATCATGACGTGACATGACATGGTGCTCTGAGATCTGTTTGGGGGTCGAAATGTCTACGGATAGAAGCAGCAGGCACTGATGAGGCAGGCCATGCTGAGCGTCAGGTCGCTCGCTACCAGCGACTGAGGACTGGCAAGGCTGGCTCGGATGTATTCGACTACCGTATGAACACCGGTGATGGTGATGACGACCCAGCATCAAGAAGCTATCTGGTCTACCTCCGGTTGTCGGTCTCGGTTTGTGTTCGCTGACAAGCATGGCCGGCTGGCAGTATCCGGAGGCCCTGGGCATTACGTGGAAAGGAATATAACCAACACGAGATGATATCGCTTGACAGGCGTGGCAACGGGAGTGGGCGTTGGATCGAACGATTTAGACGATAGTCTGTTCTCGGATGGCAGGAAAAGGAGGATCAGATTGCGCTGGAGGGTCTTGGAGGAGACTGGGCGGGAGAAAGACGATGGTCACAGCAACGTGGAGCCGGCTGGCCAGAGGGTCTGAGCATGGGCAACCGGGATGTTCAGCATGGCGGATGGATTTGGAAAGCAAGGCCGACTCTTGGTGTCATGATTGGGGAAAGCGTGGCTCGTGGATCTGGGACCCCGGGTTCGGGAGGACTTGGAGTCTTGGAGAGGCATGGCGGCTCTCGAGGAGGAGCGTCGATGGCAGGCTCGAGCGTGGTGGTGGTAGTGGTCGACAGATTTTTTTTTACTCGGTAGCCAGGGGAGAGAAGAGGATAGAGT